TTTGTTTTCTTAGTTGATTCTTGATGGTTTTGGTTACAAATTTCCCTTCTTCATTTTTTTTAATTGACTCTTCTTTTTCTTGTTAAAATCTATTTTGGCTGAAGTGTTTCCATTTTTTGGATTGAAGATTTATTTCTTTTGAATTTTTAGTTCTTTTTAGTTGATTGTTTATAATGAGTTGTCTGTAAATTTGTAATAGGTTGTTGATTGTAGGTTTCTATCTTGAAACATGCTTATCATGCAACATAATACACGAAGGTAACTACCAAACTGTTACAGGCATACTTCTGGTAATGTAAATCTGGAAAAAAAAAAAAAAGTTAATGTACCGAAACCCATAGTATGCACTGGAAAAGAACTTTTACAAAAAAATTCATATCTTAATAAATCTAATCTAATAAAGTCCATGTAAATCGAAGTGCTCGTATTCATTTTGTAAAGAACAACACTCTTCTGCATTTTTCTGGACATTTTCAAAATCATGATACTTCTACATAACTCTTTGATTATCAATTTTTTTATTGATTCATGTTTAATTTTGTAATTCATCTCTTTGGTTGCCTTTTAATTTAAATGCTTGTTCGTCGAGTTATATTTGCTGCGTGTCTGCTTATTTTTGACTTTTTTCTTCGGTTGGAGAATATACATTGTTATAATTATATTCCTGATTTTCTGTTCTACATCTTGTTTTGATTTCTGTTTCCTATATTTATTTGGCTTCAAAACATTTCAGGCTTTATGATATTTGTGTATATTTTTTTTGACTTGCCTTAACATGGGTTCTAAAGTTGCTAGCAATTTTAAAACCTCTATTGAAGGAATTTTTTTAATGGTTGGTAAAATTAGTTGATTAACATAATGTAAGTGTAGAGTTTAAATAAAGCTATGTCATCGTGAATTAGTGTTTACTAAGATGCTCTATTGAAGAAATTATTTGACTTCAATTAAAAATAAGTGAGCAACACATCTGACATTTAATAGCTGTCTTTTTTCACAGAACATAGTAGCAAATATATGTTAGTCAATAATCTTATACACTTTTATTAATATATTATTATAATGATTTTTATTCATTAAAATGAGTCTTTTATTATTTCTTAAGAATTTTGCAAGAAAATTTTTACTCTATGAATTATAAGTTAATTTTTTTTGTACTTTCTTTGATTTACGTGTAGTTTACCCTCCAACTATAAAGTCGAATATTGACATCTATACTGTCAATCATTTGTCATATCAAGTATTTATTAAATCATGGGAAGACAATGTTGGATGCCTACATCTGCACAACTTAAGATTCTTCAAAGTCCAAGCAAGTCAGAAATTGTGCAAATAGTTTCCCAATTATCATTAGTTTAAGAATAGACGTGTTGAATCAAAACGAATTCAAATGAGTACACAAGCAAAGATTCAACCAAAAATTCAGTTAGGGATTCAAACAAATATTATGTATGAAATGCACTTGATCAACGTTTACGGAGTTTCAGGTTATGATGTTCGTCTTTATCATTAAAAGTAACTTGGTTTTTCCTTTGATACTTCATTATATTACTTTCAATTTTGCTATATGAATTCGATCTTTTTATGGGTTTCGTTATGCAAAATTTATAGTTAATAATACGCCTACTTATTTGTAGAGAATTTTATTCTCATATTTATTTTATTTTGTTTACGGTATTTGTTTTGTATTGCTATATGTTTTTACGGCACGTTCATATATATATATATTTTTTCTATTATTGTCCTTTGAATTGAATTTTATAGATCAATATTCTATTCAAGATAGTACACTAAGTGTTGAAAGAAATTCTTCATTTGATGTTTGTGAAAATGAGAGCATGCATTAAAGGATTATAGTTATGATTTTGTAAATCAAGTGTTAGTTTTTAAACCATCTCATTTTATGAGTATAACATTATTTTATGATCTATTGTACATTTGTTTTTTCACTTAATTTTAATGTAGATTTTGAACTAAAATGAATCGGGAATTTTAGTGCTTTTTTGTTCATATTGTTAGCTATAGAAAAAAATCTCTATGCGTATTTATTAACTTCCTTTGTTATGTTATTTACTTTATCCGTGTTTGCAGTTAATGAAGTTTGTACAAGCTCTGGTCAGCTATTAGAAAAAAAGTACATGTGGTCCTCAGCTTTGTTCGGGCTTATTCTAATTGTGTAATGTTTTTTTTTTTTATTTTTTATTTTTTATTTTTTTTTTTTAACGAGGTGTCCCAGCTTGCGCCAGACTATATCCTCGTCCCTGAACCTCCGGCTCCTCAGCAGCTCAGGGAGGTAAATCGCGGGATGTGCCCTTGTTGGTTCCCAAGTTCCCACACGACTTTTACTCCGTCCCCAAAGGGAGCCTCTTCACTGCCTTATAGCAATTTGCCTTCCAAGATAAATCTTGCCTTTCAAGTTGTGCCTTTCAGGAATCGAACTCCCCACGCTTGGTTCCAGAGCCCCCCAATTTTTACGTGTAATGTTGTTATTTTCACAGAAGGTTTCATTTGTGTTAGATACACGTCATTTTATACATTCTTTTTTTTTTTTCCCAATATTGAAATTCTTAAAAACAATTTTTTTAAAAAATGCTACTCTTCATTAACTTGCTATTAATAAGTTGATGGGATGTTGACTAATTAGGAGTTTATTTCTCTTCATAAAGATGCTTTTCTCTTTATAATTTTTGTGAATTATTATATCTTTTTTGTAGGTTATGCTAATCAACATCTTCAATTAGAGATGGGTTTATCTGTCATGAAAACTGCATAGTTGAAAAACAGAATGAAAATAGTAATATGCTGTATGAATGTATATCAGATATTCTTGTTACTTTTGAACATTAAAAAAGAATTGATATAAAAAGCATTCCTATTGAACCTTATGCCTTGCCATCTTGTACAATTTGTAGATATTGTGGTGTAAAAAAAATCTATAGAGAAATTAAGGAAGTTTGCTGTTGTGACATAAGAGTCGTATTACAATAAAATAATGTGTCTCCTGAACTGTACAACTTATTCACTTGTAATTCAGATGAGGCAGTTGCTTTTAAAAAAGTTGCGTATAGTTACAATAATTATTTTGCATTCACTTCGTTTGGTATTAAATATGATAAAGATTTGTTCAGAAATAATAAAAGTATATATGCTTTCAAAATTCAGGGACAAGTATACCATTTTATAAATCCATTGTACTAACTAATGGGAATCCAACATATTTGTAGTTATACCTCTATAATATTGAAAATGAAATTCGCAATAGGCTCAAAAATTTAGAGAAGTTATGTGAATCTACTTTGAGAAAGTTTTATTTTAACCAAAAATCCATATTGCAAGTTTTTCTCAATCAATAAGTGAAGTTATTGATTTATAATCATGTTGTAATTTATTGAGGTGCAATCCAAGCCTTGATCAAAGAGTATATAATATGCCAACAATAGAACAAGTGGCCGTAGTCTAGATTGATGAGGACTCATCTTAAAATGATGAGCTCGGGATATATTAATTTATGGACATTCAGGTAATGTATACAAAGTACAATATTACTCTAGTTGTTAGGATTTACTTCAATATTCATTATTTTTTTCTCTATAGAGAACCTGAATGGTATGAAGGTATTCAAAAAGTAAATGTGAATGCTTCACAAGTTCGAGTCCCCGATAATTTAATAGAAGTTAATAATATCAATTTTTTTCGGATCAACTTTTAGAAATAGAAGATCATGGTAAACTTTACTAATGATAGCGTTGTATTTTTTATTAAATTAAACTATTTCACAATTGAGAATAGTTTTTTTTTCATTTTTTGTATTTGTTACAAGTTTCAGGTCTTTAAACAATTTTCTTGCTTCTACATATTAGTAGACTTTTACAATAATATGTAGTAGATATGTATATTAAAATTGAAATATCAAGATTGGATTATTTTCGTAATAATCAAAAGGTTATAAGAGTTGAACTTTACCAAAGAATTGTAAACAATGTATAAATTGGTGATAATAGAGGTTATAAAATTGGTAAATCATTAGTATTGCTTGTTGGGTTTGTCGGGGATCCTAGAAATATGACTAAAAGATAAGATACATGAATGCGATTTCTTTAGTTTAGAGATATGGAAAACTTGTTGGTCTGAAATAAAACAAGAATTAAGACATAATGATGAGATACAAAATATGCCGAATTTGTTAGTATGAATATTTCATGTCAGGCTTGACGAACTGAAAATAGATTTGATTAAAAGAGAACTGTGAGGTCATATAGTTGCATATGTTTATGCCATTGATTTTCAAAAAAGAGGATTACCATATGCTCATTTCTTTCTAATATTTAAACGAAGTTTTAAAATTAGTAACTTTGTGCAAGCTGATGAAGTTGTTTCTTGTGAAAGATTAGTCCGAAATAAATACCCTCATCTACATGCTATTGTTGTAAAATATTTGATGCATGGTCCTTGTGGACATTTAAATCCTAAAAATGTTTGCATGGGGAACAATCATACATGCAAAAATAAATATCCAAAAGAGTATGTGCTACTTTAGAGAGCAAGTTACATTTAAGTATTGCTTCTTTAAAAACAATATGTATTACAGCCAACTCACCAACAGCAATCAACGGCAATCAACACAAAGAATTTTCTTTTATAGTTATTTCCATGTCACAGTTCTTACCATGTATAGATTGGATTCTCACCTATAAATTTATACAAAATCATTGTAACATATATGGAGGAAATAATATAATCTCGAATTCTTCCCTCAACCATACCTTTGTGTGTCGAGATTTATTATGGTATCAGAGAAACCTCCTTCCTGCGGCCTCTTCTGATTTCTCTAACTTCCGAAACCAACAACCACCATGTCTGATTTGACATCGTTGACACCTTCACAATTGATCAATGACCTCACATCCCCATATTTCTTAATGCCCGCTGATAATCCTGGTGCTGTACTCGTCCCCGATCTTCTCACTGGAGAAAACTATGCAGCCTAGAAACGCTCGATGCGTATGGCCCATAATGCCAAGAACAAACTCGTCTTTGTCGATGGAACTCTAAAGCGACCATCCGAAGCTCAAATTTCCAACCTTTGGGATATTTGCAGTGATATGGTTCTTTCTTGGCTCTTAAATTCCATCGATAGGCACCTTAGACAAAGTTTGATCTACTGCACCAAACCTTCTGATGTATGGACTGATCTGGACAACCGATTCTCTCAAAGCGATCACCCCCGTCTCTACCGCCTCCAACATGATTTGGCTAACCTCAAACAAAATGCCATGTCCGTCACCACATACTACAATACAATTAAAAGAATCTGTGATGAGATCAATGCACTAACCGATGCCAACCCCTGCACTTGTGATGCTCGCAAAAAGGCCGAAGACACAGCCAACACCGAACGACTCTTTCAATTCCTTATGGGCCTTAATGACTCCTTCTCCAACATTCGAAGCCAAATTCTCGCCATGGACCCCCTGCCCACAATCTCTAGAGCATATGCCACCATACACCAAGAAGAGACACAACGCCTCTTACAAATTCCATTGTTACCAAATCCCGAAAACTCGGCCATGGTTGTCTCACGCACCAATTCTTCGGTCAATCACGATTTCCGTTGCACAAAGTGTGGGAAAGATGGACATCAAGAAGCCTCCTGCTTTGAAATCATTGGCTACCCTTCCCATTGGAACACCAATAAGCCAAAGCAACCCCTGCGGTCCGCACCTGTCAAAAACTGGCCACAGGATTTAGGCAGTAATCGACCACCCACAGCGAACATGGTGTCCCGTACCTCAGCCCCTTCCACGTCGAGTGCAATCCATGGCTTATCTGACGAGCACTACCGTCAATTGATGGAAATGTTGGAAACCAGCACCATTGCACACTCGGCCTTCTCTGGTATCTCTTTATCACCTCCCCAAATCGCCCAGGTCCCTGGATTATAGAAAGTGGGGTTTCAGCCCACATTTATTGTGTTTCTAACTTATCCAAAGCCTCACATGTTTGGGACCATAGTCAATCCCTTACATTACCCATAGGCTTCAAGGCCCAAGTCAGGGCCACATCCATATTTCTCCTCATTTACGTCTACATAATGTTCTTTTTGTTCTCGATTTTAAATACAATTTAATCTCAGTAAGTCAACTCACAAAATCGTCTAATTGTGTTACCATATTTCCTCTTCTATTTATTTATTTCAGGACCTACGCACGAGGAAGTTGATTGGGATGGGTGAAGAACGTGGAGGCCTCTACCATTTTAAACCGTTTAATCATGTTGCATTTCAACTCACAGCGAATCTTGTAGCCACACCGGACCTATGGCATCTTCGTTTAAGTCATCCTTCAAATTCTTGTGTTCCAAAAAATTTATGTGATTCAAATAAAGTTAGAAATTGTGATAGTTGTGTTCGCGGTAAACATACGCGCCTTCCCTTCAAACTGGTCGAAAATAAAAGTACTTTTACCTTTAACCAAATTTATTGTGATATTTAGGGCGGATATTCCACACCCTCTACAACTGGTGCACACTATTTTCTCACAATTGTTGACGATTTTTCACGTGTTACTTAGATATACCTCATGCGTTTTAAATCTGATACATTTACTTGCCTAACCACGTTCATTAAAATGATCCACACGCAGAGTAATTGCCCTATCAACCATATTAGGTCTGATAATGGTCAAGAATTTCTTTCTCATCGTATGCAATAGTTCTTTCTTGAACATGGGATCATTCATGAGCGCACTTGTGTTGAAACACCCCAACAAAATGATGTACCAGAACGAAAACATCGTCACCTACTAAATGTAGCTCAATGTCTTCACTCTCATGCACATTTACCTGTTTCCTTTTGGGGTGAATGCATACTTACTGTCACTTATCTGATTAACCGCATACCAACTCCCACGCTTGGTCACAAAGCGCCTTATGAACTCCTTTTCAACAAACCTCCTACCTATGATCACCTCTGTGTCTTTGGATGTCTTTGCTATGCACACACCTTAAGTGTCCACCGGGAAAGTTCTCTCCTCGTAGCACACCATGCATATTCTTAGGCTACTCTCAAACTCCACATACCTATCGTGTTTATGACTTGTAAACCAAGAAAATTTTTCTCTCTCATGATGTCCACTTTGTAGAATCTACCTTTCCCCTCGCTCCTACCATGCAACCTTCACACACATCATCAGATACCAATTAGCCCCTCGATGTCCCTTACAGTATCCCATCTCCAACCTACGTTTCACATGACACCCCTGACCCATCTCCTTCATCCACGCCAGACATGGAACCAACTATACCAACACCACAAATTGTTGATGGACGTACCAACTCCCTAGAAATCGTTACCAGCTCACCTCCACCAACTAGACCTCGACGCACGATCACTCGTCCCACATATCTTCAAGACTACATTTGCTCAAATTTACCTCCAGAGGGACCACGTTCATCATCTCATTCCCAGTCTTTCTCAGGTACTGTTCACTCTCTAATTAATTTTCTTTCTTATCGTTTCTTTAGTCCAAAACATTTTGGTTTCCTCTCTTCTGTCTCCAAAAACGTTCAAGACCCTGTGCTTTACTCTCAAGCTATTCTCGAGCCGCATCAAGCCCTTGAAGCCAATCACACATGGACCCTTGAACATCTTCCCCCTGGTAAGAAGGCAATTGGTTGCAAATGGGTTTATAAAACAAAATTGCATGTCGATGGTTCCATTGAACGCCATAAAGCTCGTTTGGTTGCCAAGGGTTTCACTCAGGTTGAAGGTCTTCACTATAATGACACTTTTTCTCATGTGGCTAAACTTGTTACCGTTTGATGTATCCTTGCTATAACTGCAGCAAAACACTAGATTCTTGAACAATTGGATGTTCACAATGCTTTTCTCCATGGTGATCTTGATAAGAAAGTGTAAATGCGACCACCACCAGGATATTTTCGTAAAGGGGAGACTCGCGTTTGCCGTCTCCACAAATCATTATATGGTCTCAAACAAGCCTCACGTCAGTGGTATTCAAAATTATCCCATGTTCTCATTCTTGCAGGTTTTGATCAATTTGCTGCTGATCATAGTCTCTTCACCAAAACCAAGGATACAACATTTACTGTCGTTCTTGTCTATGTTGATTATATCATTGTTGCTGATAATGATAGCTCTGCCATCAGTTCTATCAAACGGCATCTTGCACATACCTTCAAAATCAAAGACCTTGGTGATCTCAAATATTTCCTAGAATTGAAGTTGCTTGATCTCCTAAAGGCATATTTATCAATCAAAGGAAATATACCTTGGACATTCTTACTGATTCAGGTCAACTTGGCTCTCGCCCGACATATTTTCCCATGGAACAATATTGCAAACTTAATGACTCAGATGGTGATATTATGGACGATCCTAGCTCATATCAACGCTTGATTGGTCGTTTGATCTACTGGACCATCTCTCGTCCTGATATTACCTTTGTAGTCAACATTTTGAGTCAGTTTATGCACACTCCTCGCAAGTCTCATCTACATGCTGCTATCCGCTTGCTCCGCTATCTAAAAACTATACCTAGTTATGGACTCTTCTTTCCATCAAACTGCAACCTTCAGATATCTACTTTTTGTGACTTTGATTAGGCAAGTTGTCCGCTCACACGATGCTCCACAACTGGTTTCATTGTCAAATTGGGCGATAGCCCCATCTTTTGGCGCACCACGAAACAAACAACTGTTTCTCGCTCTTCTGCTGAAGCTGAATATCGTACGATGGCCCTACGACTTGTGAACTTGTTTGGCTTCGACTCCTTCTACAGGAACTTACTGTGCCGCATCCACAACCTATTCTACTTCACTATGACAATCAGGAAGCAATCCACATTGCACGTAATCCGGTCTTCCATGAACGTACCAAACACATTGAATTAGATTGCCATCTTGTTCATAAAAAATCAAATCTGGTCTTATTACTCCCTTTTACGTTTTAAGCTCTCAACAGGTAGCTAATCTTTTTACTAAACCATTGGGACGTGGGGTTCAAGTTGGGCATTACGGACCTCCATGCTTCAACTTGAGGGGGAGTATTATAGCCAGCTCACCAATAGCAATCAATGGCAATCAACACAAAGAATTTTCTTTTATAGTTATTTCCATATCACAGTTCTTACCATGTATGGATTGGATTCTCACCTATAAATTTATACAAAATCATTGTAACATATATGGAGGAAATAATATAATCTTGAATTCTTCCCTCAACCATACCTGTGTGTGTCGAGATTTATTAATATGTCAATATTCTTTTGGCATATAAAATATAGTTCATGCTCTTTAGAAGCAAATAATATTCTTTTGAATATTAATTATAATGTGTGCTACTTCAAGAGTAATAACAAATTATTATTTAGAAGCATTAACCCTTCAGGAGCCATATATATTATTTACAGAGATGTGCTTCTTCAAAAGCAAAGACGTAACATATTATTAATTTAAATGTAAAAATATTTGAAAAAAATAATAATATATACGTTAAATAAACTTCAAGAAAGTTAATGTAAAGAAGATTACATCTAGACGACATAAATCATCCATTAAAACAATTGTTGGGGAAAAAGATTAAAGCAATACAATTATTTTTATATGCTTCAAAGGATGAAAATCACGTATCTTTCTTGCTTCGTAATCTGCCCCAAAACCATATACTTTCAATGTGTATCTCTTATAAAATTCAATGGATACTATGAATGTTTTGCTAGAGTTTTTCTGCTGAAATTAAAAGATTAAAATGAAAGTTGGGAGGACGGATGGGACCCATCACTTTTATTTTCTAATCTGTGCCATGCATATGTGTATAAAAAAACTATTATCTTCTATTGAGTTTGTTTGTATACAAAGATGTAAAATAGAATTTTCCTTTTGAAACACAGATAAAAAATAATGTCATTAATAACGGGTTATAAACTAGAGAGAAAAAAATAGAGACCAATAAACTTGTGTGTTTTTCGTAAAAATCAAAGCCTCATATTTATAAGAAAGAATTATGACTATAAGAGATACAATAATCGGTGATTTGGATCGCAAGAGTATAAAAATCATTTATAAATATATATAATTATATTTACAACAATAATTGCAAACTTGGGCTAGACCAATCAATTGTTATTTTCGCATCTTTCCTTGAAAATTTGACAAATGTAACATGTGGATTTTTGGTATGTCAAAAGATATTTGATATTTCTCTCAATCCTAAGACATATAAAGGCGTATTTGATACATAATCTTGTATAATATCAACTCCGAAATGATATTAAAAAATAATAATAATAATAATCTTTTGGTACTTTGAGTTCAAATTAATGAGCAACAGGGAAGATTGCAAAATTTTCCTAAAATTACATCATTAACATAGGATAAAACTCCCAAGATAGACCACTTTTAATCAAATTTCGTGTCATGATTTTACTTTAAACACAATAATTTATGTAGAAAATGTAATGTTCTTCGAAATATATCATCGCAAGAAGTTACTTTATACAATGTTAGCGCATTTATGCGAGAAACTTTAAGCCTCCGTTCGGAAAAAAAATTATAATTGATTTATTTATAAATAAATAGAAATGGGTGATGAAAAATGAAATAATACTTGTGAATCAATTAGAATGTGTGGTTGAAAAGAAAGTTTGATTATTTACAAATAATTTATAAACTAAGCTGAAAGTCATCTATAATGCTACTAATTATTTACTTTTCATTAAAAAAATTTCAGATCCAATAACTTAGAGAAGTTTTATTACATGGGATGAAGCATATATGTACAAGTGGCAAACGGGCCGTCGGCTCACAAGCTCGACTTGTCCTGATTGAGTTGAACCATTTCCATGAGTCAAGAGGGCTCGTGGGTCTGCCCATTTTCCCCCTCTTTTTGCTTACTTTACTAAACAAAATTACTAATTTTTGGACCATTATGGTTAATTTTTTTAAAAGAATAATTGAAAAAATTGGCTCATTGATAGCTTGTAAGGCTCACGAGTCATAAAATCGAGTTGAGATTAAAATTTGGATACAAGCTGAACTCGACTTGAATATTTAAGAGCCGAATTGAACAATTATCACCACTACATATATGTCTTGACGTCTCATAGTAGTTTAATTTATACATAATTCAATTTATTTTAAGGGTGCATTTGATTGTAAGCTTGGAATTTGAACAATTCAATTGCTTAAAACTTATTTGTATGGAAATTAGTAATTAAATGTATTTGATTAATTCAGTTTTCAACTTAAAAAATATTTTGCTTGTCCATTTTTTATTGGTTGATATATCCAAGAGTTGATAGATGAGAGAGAAAAAGAGAGGATAAATTATCTGAAAAATAAAAATCACCAATTCCTAAAGAAAATATTTTCCTTATTTTTATGATCAGGTGACCAAAAAGTTGGAAAATATTTTTGATGGAAAAAATTGTCAGTCAAACACCCCAAAAATAAGAATTTGAGTGAAAAAATGACATTTTCCATAAAAAGTAAAGCCAAACGAACACACTTTATAAGTACATTTACACCACCTTCCAAAATACAATATGATATTTTTCTTAAGGATGACAACAAAGCGAATCTAGATAGGAGCTCGGGCAATTTCTCGCCTCGATACCCACTTAAGGCAGGCCAAGGGGTGGGGAAGGACAGGGCCTTACTCCGGTTACTTACCTGCTTCAGTTTTTACTTTTATTTTTTTATATATGATTCATTTTTCAATATTAAAGCGTAGATGTTCGGTGTATGAGTTTTGTATTTCAGGTACAGCAAAGTTGCTTATCTGGATACTGATGTTGGGCAGACAGAATTTACTCCTCCTGGTCTTCTATCACTCACTGTGATTGACAAAGTAACTCCAGGTACATTTATATTGGCATTACCATTTTTCTGATGTTCTCTCTCTCTCTTTCTTCGTCCTGAGTCCATTTTATGTTGTTTTTGTTATCTGACATCAAAACCTTCTAATAATTTTTCGTTTTTTCTTCTTGTTATTTAGATTTGACAATTCCATGTCTCAAAACCCCCGAAAGGTATAAATCATTTAAACTTTTGTTTTGATTATTTTCTGTTTACATCCACTAGAGAGGAATATGCAATTAATACACTGCTTACACGTTCCTGTGGCTGGAAGAGATACTTTCAATGACGAATTTGATAAAAGATTGATTTTTGAGACGTGCATATATTCATTTATATCTTTTTTGTAGGTGGTTATCTGGCAACTTTGTTCCCCTCCAGTAGCTGTTGTTTAAATAATCACTTGTTTGAAAATGCTAATGATAATTACATCAGGAAAAAACAGAATTTTGCTGGTAGCAGTCGTCTTATTTTGCATCTGCAATTATATTAATGCATTTGGTGTTCGATTGTTTTTTAGTACAGGCTTCCAAAGAAGTTCATATTAGTTCTCACTTCTCTTAATAATTATTGGAATTGCATTCTTTGGAGATGAAGCATGAAATTCATATTTTCATGAACAATCGACTCATTAACTCTCGAGACCTTGGATTTGATAGATATAGAGATTATGTATTGTATGTGCTGCAATCTATTGGTCTGGTCGTTTAGTGCATATTTTCAGCTACTTAAGCAATTTGTCTATCAAATATATCGAATGAACTCTATCCGGTCACAATTTTTTTTAATGTCCTTTTAGATGCTTTTTCTTTGGTGACATCTCCTCCAAAAGGAACCCAACAGCCTATTTGACCAGCATATTTTCCCTTTACGATCACTATTGGAAAGAATACTGCACGAAGAACAAGATTGATGTCCAGGACAATGCTGGATTGCCACTTGTCATAAATACCCCTGGCTGGGTTAAAGGTTTTTTTAACTGTTGATCCTTCTTTCTCCTTGGCCTTATGCTGTTTTAAATTTTATTTTTACTATGACTCATGTTTAACATTTGCTCGTTTTAGTATATGTAGATGACCTATTGCCTTTCTTTTTTATTTGCATAAGGTATTGGTTATGAAATACTTGTGGACATGTTGAAGTATATGTCTCCAACACACGTGGTTAAAATTTGCATATCATCTGTGGTCAAGAACTTACCAGCTGGGGCATTTTGGTTAGATGAGGGAAGTACTGATAGAGTTACCGTCATTGAGATCAATTCTGCTCGTTGGGACCATTTGAAAAGATCGTATGTTCTTTGCTTCTTCATGTTTATATTAGAACTTAGTTTAAACTGATAGTTGTTTTACCTTGTTAACGTGAATTATATCTGGTAAACTAGAGTTCTTCTGAAGTTGTTAGTTTGCCCATTGTATATTTTCTAATAATTATACTATTTCCAGGTTGCTGGTACAAAAGGATTCTCGTCTTCTGAGAGATCTACGTGTAATGGCATATTTTAGACAATGCTTTCCTAGTGAGATGAATATATCAACAATTAAGGAACTTGCCCGCGCATTAGCTGCTCACCCTCCTTATGAAATTTCTATATCTGGTGTCAAAATGAAACACAGTCATTGTGAGGTACGCTAAAGCAGTATTTGCTTTAACATCGATATTTGTCATTTCATTCTAATTTACAGTGCTCATACAATATCACGTATGTCAACTGCAATGTACATTTTTCCTTATTGGAGCAATATTAACTTTACTTCTGGTTAAGTTTACTTTTATATTGGATTTACTTAATTTACATATTTATATCTAGGGATGAAAATTTTCTAATACTGCACTATCTTACTGTTAGGTTTCAAAAACTGAAATTTTCTACAGTTTGAATGCGACTATTATTGGTCTTGCAGTTAGTTCAGAAGTTTCCGAGCAATTACCTCATTGTGTTGGTTTGGGTTGGTCACAATGTCTTAACTTTTTATACTTGTCCTATGCTGCTTTTGATTCTCGTTCTACTTTTATTAAAGGTTATATTTGAATAATCTTTATATTATTTCACGTGGAGGCTCAGTTTGCTTTATCTGAAAACCAGGAATTGTGAGAGGCATTGACACCTTCAAAGGTTTGCTCTACATTATTACCCCCGTCCCACAGCAGACTCTGGAGGATGTTGATCTTTTGCTTCAGGGCTTCGTTCAAATTCCTACTTGTTTACTGCAGGTACACCTCTTTCAATGAAGTGCCTTCTTTTCTGTTTTGCAGCATGCAAAATATTAAAATCTATGTACAATTACATTATAGAGAAAGAAGTTAAAAAGATTAGGACAAGCTTTGTTGATTACCACAAGGCCTGTTTCTTGAAAGTTCTTAGTGCTGTCCATTTCCCTTCATCTAGGATTCGTTAGTACGTTCTTATTCTTGTAGCGTACTTGATCTTGATGAGATTCAACTATAAAAATAAATTTAAGAGCAAATGAGATTTAACCACCCCGTGCATATTTGAAGCAATCATCCACAATTGATAGCCAAATAAATCATCAAATCACTCAATAACCCGCCAATTAACAAGCTTAGCCATAATTTGTGATGACCCCACTTTAGAAGCAGGCTTCATAAGGTTTCAAATGAAGGTCTAATTTTATGCTCAATCGAGATTAATGCCGTGGCTAATTTCATTGATGATTTCCAGCATTTGAAATAGATTTTTTTGTGTAGGAGAATTAATTAGAAAGGGCAGGGGGAATGAATGCTGGTAATTAGAAGAGAAAAAGGAGCAAAAGGTCTTTAACTTAAAACCTTAGTTTCAGACTCTTTTACCTTCAATTATATGTAGACTATCAATTTCTAATTGACTGATGATGATTCTTGAGTTCTTGGAATTTTTTTGGTATATTTTGGGTTTATTTCAGTTTGCTTGCCCATGAACATCTAGTTGGCTATAATGATTCTTGAATTCAGCTATCATTTATGCACAGTTCCTTCAAACAAGTCTTATGTTCGTCTAAGATTGCTTCATCCTCCCCTTTCGTTTGATTTTATTGCCATTTTTTTTGCAAGTTTAGCTATTCGAAATCCCTGTTTTTTAATTCAAACCATCTCTTCTTTCAGGTGCAAGGCTGTATTTCCCCTTACATGTCTGCAAATGTCCTATCTACTAATTAGGAGCAAATAACTGTAGTTGTAGAGTTCCTGTACAGTCTCTTCTACAATTATCCGAGATAGTAGCCTCTACACCTTGTGTCGTGTTGGGCATTTATTACTCTAAACCCGCATTTTCTGTAATTTATTGATCAAAAAACATGTTATGACCTAAGAGATCGTACTCTGCTAAATTGCCATTCATGTTTATTCTCCCTCACGTCGAGTCTTGTGTACAAAACGTGTTAAGGCTATCTCTGTATGTGTTCGTGACACTAATTTACCATAACAGGTTGAATTTAACTCTTATGTCCAGACTTTTGGCTTCCACGACTTATATAAAACATGTATAAATTATAAGCTCATATTTTTTAAGATTGCACAAACATGCTCTTAGGAAGCTCAGTTCTCGTCTTCTTCCGTGAAGGCATTTGGTAGGAGTTGATTCTCTGGCAACAAAAATGAATAATTTGTTTTGCTAACTTTACGAAGAATCATTCGAAGTGAATTTTGTAAGAATTTTGAGTTTTTTTCATACATGAGTTTAGTGACTCTATGGAAATTTTTTGCAAAATTCATTGATGACTTGGGCGATTTTTAAAGTTCAGTGATCCCGTGAAATTTTTTTGCAAAGTTTAGCGACCATTTGGGTTATTAACTTACCATACCTACAAACACTTGCAATTCGAGTACTAAGTCAAATATGTAATTCTTCAGGCTGCGAGAGAAAATGGAGTATGTTTGAACATATTCATTGTAAGATGAGAAATAGACTCAAACATCAAAGGCTTGATGGTCTTGATCATGTTTACTACAATTTAAGATTGCAACAACAGTAATGTTATTTAAATAATTTTTTTCATTCTATTGTGATTTATTTGATTTTAAGATTTTGCTTTCTTTTATTAGAATTATATTTGATTATTTATAAATTGGATAATAAACTTTGGTTAGAAATTATTTCAAAAGTCAAAATTATGATCTTATCAACTTTGAAAGGTTTGGCATTTATGGCAATTGAACGTTAGAGGAGGAGCCATTGAATTTGGTAAATGATGAGTTGGAGGCATTTCATCGTGATTTGGGTGCATGTACTATACAAAATGACAAAAACATTGGTAATTGTTCGATTGGTGCTATTGTTTCTTTTTTATATTAAAATATATATGATGTAACATTGAATTTTAATACTTTATTTTTTTTCAAATGAATTACATTTTAATGATATTCATCTTAATTGTGATGGAAATGATGACAATGGCAATGAAAATAGAAGTGACACAAACAATGGAAACGGTGATTTTAGTATGACTTGGGCTCCTTCATTGGTACAAGGGGAAGGAATTGAAGAATCTATGTTCTAGATCTCCGCATGGATGCATTTTAACTCGTAATTGAGAAAATATTGACCTATCTCAAATAATTTATTCTTTATATATGAATGACGGGATGGTTTTATTCTTACAAACAAATCCTTATAGTATATGAAGCTATCTTGTTGAAGTTTGCCCGATAAAGTAATTTTTGATCATTGACCGTTGACTTTATGGTTTCAAATTCATATTTGACTACATATGATCTAGAATTTGTGAAATTTGGAAAACATATTGACCTTTAGTTAATTTAGTTATTGGTAGAAAATGGTAAAATTTTACTGTTCAATGAAAATAATTAATATTATCTATTAAACCACTACCCCGTCGACTCGCTGCATCGTTCGGGTTCGTTCCGACAACTATACTTATGATTGAACTGAGTGTTCATATTATTTTGTTACCTGAAATAAATATAGTGGCCATAATGTCTCTTCTTTCACTATTTTACCCTTGTCTTTATGAATTGGGTTGATTGTATTCACTTTTTCATTTTGTCAGATGCTTTTATTTTTTCTTAAAAAGTTTCCCAAAATTATGAAAGGAAAGTGCTAAATGACATGGTAAAGGCTTCCTTGTTTTCACAGGTTTGTTCATTGTTGAGCGATTGACCGTTAATTCAGGTATATCGTCCGCTTGACAAACTTTCTATACTCCAAACACCCTTTATACCATATATAGCCCAATCAACACCACCATTCAGTTTTTCTGCAACCTTTGAATCAGACAAAATCTGTTTTCCTTCTTCCTTCTCGTACAGACAAAAGCTAGAGAGAGATAAAGAGAGAGAAGTCATGATCTAGGGATGGTCATGATCTATCTCATTTAATTTCTCACTTTTCGTTTCCTCATTCCTGATTCCTTTCAAACAGCCCCATTTCGATCATTCTGCAAGTCGGTTTGTTTACTCGGTAAGCGTGTCAAGATGCCAGCTAAATCGTTTAACAGCTTTGTTGAAGAGAAGCTCGGAAAATTCCCACATTTTGTGATATATGCCATTCTTGAATGGGTGATGATCATTTTGCTCTTCATCGATGGGTTCCTCGCCTTTATTTCCAATGAATTCGCCAAGTTTTTTGAATTGAGAATTCCGTGCTTGTTTTGCACGAGGATTGATCATGTTCTCGTTCATAGGCACTCAAGTTTTTACTACAACGATTCCATTTGCCTGGTTCACAAGAAGGACATCTCGTCCCTCGCATATTGCCATGTGCACAAGAGGCTCTCTGATATTCGTAGTATGTGCGAAGGTTGCCTTCTTTCGTATGCAACGGAGAAAGATTCTGATTGCGAAAAGTACAAGTCTCTAGTCGGGATTTTGCACAAGGATATCGATTTGTTCATGGAGGATAATCCGAGAACAACAAATATGAAACCAGGAAAGAAGGGTGATATCGAGCAATTTGATGATAAGGGTGGGATTCCCAGATGTTGTTGTTGTAATGAGCCTTTAAAAATTAGACCCTCCTCAAAGTATAACAGAAGTTTATCAATGAATGCTCCGACTCCATCTCCTCGGGCAACCTTACTCAGAAACGAGGAAGGACGAAACGTAGAATTGCCTCACTATAGGTACTCAGAGCTTAGATTCACATCAGATGCCCAATCAGAACTTCCTGAGGAGGAATATGCTTCAATTGGAGATAATCAGAGTGAGTTATATTGCCCTTCTGTTTTCTTTATTCTCTTTAGGGATAAACCATTTACATTCTTGTTTGTACTGTTCTATCGTATTTAATACTGCACACTGAACATGTTATGAATCTATTAACGGAAGTATTTTTTTCGATGATTACTTATTCCAATGTTCATTATTTAGTTTCTAATCGATTCATTTCTTATAATTCACAATCTTCCTTTCTTCGTTTTGAAGTAGGTAGAGAATATATCAAAGCTGCTACAGTTCCACTTCTGCCAGATTCTGAGGATTATGAAGATCTTTGCAAAACCCCAAGTTTTGTCCGAGGAGGAAACAAATTTTTTGGGATTTCATTGTCCGATTCAACTCAAGCCAGTCCTAGATGGGCTAACAAGGGAGCTCGAAAACAATTGGTCAACAACTTCTTTTCCGAGCTTAATGATCCAAACGCTCAAAGTGAGACAGACAACAACATGTTGAGTCGTTTGAAGAGACAAGTTCGTTTGGATCACAAATCCCTGATAGAATTATACATGGAACTAGACGAAGAACGAAGTGCTTCTGCAATTGCCGCAAACAATGCAATGGCTATGATTACTCGACTGCAAGCAGAGAAGGCGGCTGTTCAAATGGAGGCCTTACAGTATCAGAGAATGATGGAAGAGGAGGCTGAATATGATCAGGAAGCTCTGCAAGTAACGAAAGACTTGCTGTTAAAAAGAGAGGAAGAGATAAAGGTTTTAGAGTCTGAACTCGAGGCGTACAGAGAAAAATACGGGCATATTAAGAAAATAGGCAGTGACAGCGTTGAAGCTGATGCTGATGAAAATTATCAAGAAATAAAATCTCAGTCCTTGTCATCGTTAGGTGAGAAATCAGACTGTGGTAGCTCGAGTGGAGCGGATCAAAATGAAAAAGAACGTCCTTATGATAGAATGATGGAATATGGAGGAGGGATTTCGGATGAATCTCATTTAGATTTCGAGAGTGAGAGGTCTTATCTTTTAGGTCTTTTGATTCAACTCGAGAAAAAGATAAACGCACCTTTGGACAAAGAATCTGATTCCTTAGAGGTCGATACGCCTATGCATGAAGACAATACTAAAGTCACTCTTAAAAGAGAAGTTTCTACTATTAGGGAGAGGTTGAGAGCTATTGAAGCAGATAGTGGCTTCTTAAAGCATATTGCAATGACACTACAGAGAGGCGGTGAGGCAACTAAACTCTTGACCGAGATAGCTCATCATCTTCGGAAGCTTAGGCACTCGAATAAAATTTCCTCAGACGACACAGATGCATGAAATCTTTGTCCTAAATGTGACACTTTTCTTGATTTTGTCTCCTCCTTCATGGTGTGGCACTGTTGACATATTTGGTATGTCGTGTCGTACAGGATTAAACTGTATAATAAATAATATTTTAGCATATTTTTACTGTCCATTATCGTCTAATCCACCTCACCAAATACTTCATTTAAGTTCATCACGTTATCACTTATATCAACCTTTTTGTTTGCAGTTCCTTCTTATTCTCTTTTCAATTCCTCTCTCTCGTATTAGGATGTATATACCTATAGCTTTACTGGACAAACAATGGAGTCCTGGCTTGAATGTTTCATGGAGCACATGGTTCTCGTTTCCTCAACATATTTCGGTAAAGAGGCTTCATTGATTTTGAACTTCGAATCAAGAATCTAGTAGTTTTTTATAGGATTATTAGTAATTGCAGTTTGCAGATTTGTGCGCCTGTGTACGAATAAGAGGCATGAAGATCAGGAAGCCTTGATGTCAGAAGAAAGCTGTTCATCCACAAAAAACTCTAAATTTAGCACAGATGGCATTTTGAACATAGATTGTTAGCTGATCGAAAATGGACAGACTTCTTGTTGACATCCCTTCACAGATACGCAAAGGAGTCGAGCATTTAGCAGTATCATACTCAAAGCTGATCAGCAGCATTACATAAAATGAGTCATGAATTCTTTGATGCAATTTAGATTCATTTTCGGTTTTGTTGATTTTTCATGGACGACAAAATTCTCTCTAGAGTTCTGCAGAAAGATACTTTCAATGGACCAGGCATATTGATTTCGTGTTCAATGGTTTTCATCAGTGACTGAATTTGAATATTCATGCATTTAACAATCTGTTATCACATGAAATGAAACTTTTGAGTTAGAAAGGGCCTTTGGATAACCTCAATAAACCAAGTCTTGTTTTCAATAAATTTGGGATTGATTATATGAATCTTTTCTTGCATTTCTGTGCCTTATCCCATGCTATTTTCTATTGTGAGTTGCTTAGTGTATACCTCCGCATTGCTCAAATGGATTTAATTCTCGCCCATCTATGATCCTGATGAGAGGTTAAGTTTCAAATTCCAATTTGAACTAGAGGTTGCGACATGCTATGGACCCTAGATGATCAAGTGTCGATGAGTTCATTGAACAATACATGTTACCCAGAGTTCAAGTACAACGACACAATTATTAGAAAGGCACTTTGCCACTGATCTAATAGCCCCGTTATGCCACCACCCATTGGAGGCCCGCTATGCCAAAAGAGAATACCCAAGGCAAGGTCCGTTTCGTTTGTTGCACTGACTAGTAGTCCAAGGACTTTTAACTTCTTTATCTTCGGATTTTAGCCATTTAAACTAAAGCATACTTTGTACGATCCACCCTGTTCCCAACATAGCTTGTAATTTTCATTTATTTTCTGAAAAATAATATAAAATTTGGCTTCCTTTTATAAAGTCGCCGTGCCCGTTGTTTTTTTACACCTCCCTTGAGGCATATTTATACGAACAAAGAAACGGTGTAGGATCAAACTGAAAGAACATAACATTAAGTAGTAGTAGTACATTTACTAGAGAGTGCCGTTTTAGGTTTACCATTACAAAGTACAGTAAATTCTTTTAGGTCCCACATGAGACGACACGTTCAAATCTACTATAAATCAATATTGACTACAAATTCAAGACTTCTCTTGTACACAGAAGCAACAATTATCGGCTACAATGCGGAAGATGAAGTTTCCTTCTGACTAATGACAATAAATGGAACGAAGTTCTAATATGTTGGTCGATTCCTGAGCTGTGAAGATACGGGTCATGTTGGACGTTCAAAGACATTTCCCACCTGCATATCGAGCCATTCCACTTGTGGTCCTTGAGTATATTCACTTGGTGCTTGCAAGCCAAAAATCATTCCAGTTCCATCAAAAGTTGGTGCTGCTAACTGCAAAACAATATTTTTACATGTCAAAAAACGCAAAGATTGACTGGCTGACGGGAATCTCTGCCTTGTTGCATTATTGGTTGAGTAGAACGTCATTCACAGACATTAGATACTACTTAGAAAGAAGAGGATAACTTATCTCTAATAAATATGCCGACTGCCTAGAGAACATTTTAAAGGAATACACTTGAATATAGCAGTAACTCAATAAGAGTGAAGGTTAAAAAATTATCTTATAACGACATTCATAAATACCGCTCATAGCAACTGAAACTAATTCAAGGTCAAAAGATTTACATTGACAAAGATAGCCTCCTAAAATATGGCCACTCGCAGAAATTGAAACCAGAAGGGCCATAGAATAAAACAGGGGGAATGGGGCATTTCATTTAGATTTATTGCTCAAGTCAGAGCCTAACAAGTCTTCCGCAGTGATGCTCTAAGAAGACAGATGGATTTTTATTTTTAAGTGTCCGCAGTATCAATTCATGCACATGATCTCAAAATTGTTTACATTCACTAGCACTCCATGAAACCAAAGCTTTCACAAATACTCCTAGAACGGAACTCTGGCAGAAGAAGGCGGGACATAGGAACATCCCCCAGGTCTGTGTGTGTAGATGTATTAATTGTAGTTCACATTTGTGCTTTCAGATTAGGGTAGCGTTGGTCAAGGGGAAAGGAAGCTAGACAAGCATTTTTCCTCATTCTTGGGCTTGTGTCAAATCATTTTTCAATTTTGACAGCTTTCATCAACTAACTGTACTCTGGGATCGTCCATGTTTTAAATCATAACCACAAGACCAATTTAAGTCCACAAAAGACCAAGACCATAGAGGGTAAAGTGAACACAACGAAGAAAATTGAAAAGGACAAAAGGCAAGCAGTAAGTGCAGCTACTTTATGTTGTGGCGCCAGTTTAAAGAGGACGTACAAAGGTGCATATGAGTGGACTGCGGTTCCTAGCTCCTACCAATTTCTAATAGTCATCTCATAGAAAAAAGCCTTGTATGGAAAAGGGGAATAAAGGACTTTCTAATGTTGAGAGTTGCAATGCAACTTGATTTTCCCAAGCCTATAAAAGAAAGATAAAACTCCAAGGAATCTTCAGAATTCCGTCCGTGGAAAGGAGAATAAAGGACATTCTAATGCTGAGTTGCAATGCAACTCGACTGTCCTAAGCCCCATAAAAGAAAGACTAAACACTTCAAGGAATTTTCAGAATTTCATCCCTAAGAAACCCATAAAGGCAAACTCTCAGAGTTTCGGGACTAGTTCAGTCCCGAAACATATGTAAGAGAGTTTTCCAAAATCCGGAGGACAGTATTATTATTAGATTCTGAATACTTCACAAAGCTATGTAATAGGCTAATAACACAAACTAGCTCTTCCCGTCGTGTGCATAAAGAATCTACTTTATTGCATCTGATAAATGACTTTTCTAATGAACTACTAAAAAAGAACAAAGCATCATTGCCTAATTGAAAAGATCTCAATTTCAGAAATACAAATATGTTTTATAACACAGCAAATATCTGTACATGCAAATATATATTTCGATTCAATCTTCTTAAATTAAATTATTTTATGGTCTGACCACAAAACAAAAACTTCTATCTACAGAGCACATGTTTTCTTATCTAAAGTACATAATTCATAAACCAAAAAGGCACAAGTGGGATAATAACCACCATATAGTTCTTGCCTATCCAGTGAGCGATTAAACAGGAAACTTCTTATCTTAGCCAAGTAAATGACCCGCCATAAATTTTTATAAGAAACTGAAAGAACATGAGGGATAAGATGGGGGGTTGTGCTGAGGAACCAAATGAGCAATTTTTAAGTTTGACATAATAACATCTCCTATATAAGCAATTGGTGCAATTAGACTTACTTCTTTGGAAGGAAACCCTTCGATTGTAGGGTTCAACCTTGTATTAACTGCTTCCAGCTTCATCGACAAAAACTAGATCATTGACATAAAGAAGTGTTAGATGGAAGAGAAAGTACCATAAGATATATTTAACAACATATGGCAAGATAAGAAGAGATACCTCAACTTGACGCTGTAGTGATTGGATGTAATTAATTATTTCATCAAGAACAAGAGCTTTCCCAATAACCTGAAGAAGCAAAATTTTCATTTATCATTATGTTGTTTCAAAAGAACACTAAACCACAATGAAATCAAACCGGGAAATCAAACTCCCAATGGGAATACGAGCTGTGGAACTTTGACAACTTCTCATTGAACTCAATTGACGGTCAATATGTATGCCAAAGCATTAAAGTGACATCAAGAATCATCACAAAACCAAACTAAACAAGGGTAGAAAAGCAGAGACCTTATTACATCCAGGAACCAAGTCTTGCAGAATTTTCATCCTCTCGCTGATCTTTTCTCTCCTAGCCTAACAATTAAAATAGTAATCAGAAACTATGGCACAGACAGATGCTATCTAAAACTCGAAGGGCATGTTTGGCATGCACTAGTAGATAGGTTTGGACAGAATAAAGAACAGGATTTAAACTTCTTTTTCTTCCACAATGTTGTCCAATCCACCTTACCAAACATGTCCAAGAGGTTTAAAAGAATATTACTCTCTCAGCTAGACTGTGGCTATCAGTGGCTTGGCCCCTTCTCGCTCTAACATGGATGTAATCTTTGGGTGGCTCGGGTTTACTCTTCTCTTCGGCTCCCTTGTTACTGGTCCCTGAGTTTGCTTCTGCTTTCGTCTTCGAGCCACAATTTTCATCTCTGGATCCTGATGGTTTCATTCGTTTACCATTCCGCTCATTCTATCCCACATAGAATAAATAGTTTACAACTATCATTGTAATTCAATTAATCGAAATTCACCAGTTAACAACTAAAATTAACAGTCCCAACTTTCCGAAAAATGTAAAAATTATCCCTGCTAAACAAAAAACTTCTACAAAATAGTTGCAAAAGAAAGAGTATCAAAGTGTGTGTAGAGAGTTACCAAATCATTGTTAGCACTGCTAGTTGAAACAAGCTTAGAGGACTCATCTTCATGAAAATTCCCAATATCCATTCTTCTCTTCCCAACGCCCCCGCCGCTCTGCTCCGTCACGGTGGATTCCTCAACTGAAGCATCACCTACTCCAAAAACTTCTCCAGTGCCACCCAAACTCCCCATTCTCAGGCCCAATCCTCCTCCTCCACTACCCATCGGAAAAGACAGTGTCTCAACCAAACTATACGAAGCTGGATTGGACCCTTCTGTAAATGAAGCTTCATTTGTCAATGGCGGATCCATTTTTTCCCCCAAACAAACAAATTATCTAGTTACTCAGATATACACTTACAGTATAAATCTCTATGGGATTGTGTGTAAATGCAGAGAAGAGATCAATATAAAGAAAGGAATAAGTGTAGTAGTACAGTGACTCCTACTGGCAGTAGTACTTGTAGAGAGAGAATAGATAGAGACGCTCTAGATGTGACGTAGAGGAAGGAAATAGGGTGGGTTGCAGTGGGTCGCACTGAAGTTTATTTTGTTTCAGATCAAGCACCGAACTTTATAAAATGTTTAGTCAAGTCACCCGATCAATCAGTTGTCATATGAAAAACGTTGGCAAATAAAATGAATCTGTTTCGCTCGGGTAGTCACTAACAATTAAAAAAGGGGGTCAGACGATTGTGTAAGAAACAGACCTTTTGAGATAAAATTTCAAAAAGAGGTGTTTTATTGACAATGATTTACAATTAGAAATAAACAGAATGACTCCAAGGAACGCAAACACACGAGTATTAAAAGAAGTGTTTAAATTTAAGCTAAAAAATTAAAATTACATATTCTCTGTTTGAGAGTATTTGATTCGGGATCCTCTATTCTATGTCTTCTCTTCCTTCTTATATTCCCTTGATGACTTCCTCGTGACAAACCGTTTGGAAACTGCTTGATTGTTTTATAACTACCCACTTTCTTTATGGTGGCTAACTTGTCGTGGAACTGCTGTCTCTAACTGCTGCTATTACTCTTTGTCGTTCAATCGCCTTCAACTGGGTTCCTTGAATCGTGGAATGTGATAAGATTACTCAATAACTGCTTTAATAACTGCTATTCTGGACGATCATAATATTTTATGTTTGCTAAGATCCTGGGCGATTCGAAAGTTTGGGCGAGAACGGGGTCATCGCTCTGGGCGATTATAAGGCACTCCATTCGCTCAGATTCTAGGTGTCTTACAGGCTTGAGCGATGATGTCATTGTGTTCGTGGGCTTCCACTGCATTTATCAATAATCATGTTTGGATCTTTATCCTGGATTCCCCAATTGGGCTTCACTCTCTGGGCTATTTGATTTGGGTTGCACTTTCAGTGTGTCAACAATTACCCCTCAATATGGCAGAATTAATACCAATTATTAATCTTTGCCATATTCACTTTGTATTCTCCAGCAACATTTGAAATTCTCAAGAATTTCAATCATTATTTCCTTCTATAGCCTGAAAAGGTGCAACGTTACAAACCCTTATAAACCTAAAAGACACGCCATTTCATCGCACCACTAAACCTCGTTTCTATATTTCGCGCTTCCTCCTCACTATTTTACTGTTCATCTTCTTGCTTCTCTGTTACGTTTTTCAGGCAAATCTTAACAAAACTGTACTTTGCACCTAATGGCGACTTCACAAACTCAATCTGATGATTCTTTTAGTTTTGAAGATTTTCAGAAAATTCTTACTAGGCCGTATGTAAATCCAAACTTCCTTGCACCAGCCAATGCTGACCTCAATGAATTCTATTCGGGTCCATCATTCAATAATATCGAAGTCGTTGGACAAGTAGCGGTGGGCCAGCTATTCCCTTGCACTCAAGACTCTCTGTTCCTGAACTCTCTGCCATTGAGGTCGATTCGCGAAAAAGGTATTCGCACTTGACCCAAAGCTAATGTTATTTTTCGTAGATGGCATGCACGTCTTGTGAATCATGGCCCTACCAAGGCGATTTTTGATCGTGTTAGGATTTCGGACTTATTAGAAATCGTTCTTCAACTCCCAATTTTCGACCCAGTGCTTTTTTCGATTGCTTTGAGTTTTTGGTCTTCTGAATATAATACCTTCGTTTTCCCTCTTGGTCCCATGTCTATTACTTTAAGGGACGTTGGAGCCCTAGTAAATCTTCCGCCTTTGGACGATACCATCTTTCCTGGTATCTTGATTTCCAATGTTGGCCCGAAATTTGACAAGAAACTTACTGAACCCTATTCAAGCATGCAAGGCTTTTATAATCATTCAAGCGCCGAACCTTCCCACACTGAGCGTGTGGCCTTTCTTCAAATTTAACTCTGTAAATATATTCTCTGTGTGCCAAGTATGAAACCTTCTATGAGCTACTTACCCATAGCGCAAGAATTGGCACGTGGTAGGCCTTTGAATTTATGTTCCTTCTTTTTAGCTGCCATTTATAGAGGTATGGCTTCCCTTCAATCTCAATTAAAGAATTTTGCATCTCCCACTGGTAGTGGCCCCCTTTGGTTCACACAACTGTGGTTGAGAGCATACTTTCCACCACTTGGTGCTTCATCTATTTCCCTTCGTTCTACTAGCTGCTATGGGCTAGCTATTGACCCATGGAAACCTGTAAATATGTCCAGTAGGGACATTTTTTCATTCTTTTATACCATAAATTCGATTCCTTCCTTCTTTCCTTTTCCTGCTCACTTGACTCCTGATTATGTGCAACCTCCATCCACCCTGGACAGTGCGAGCGCCTCTCTGCTTGTTTGGGTTCAGTTTTTGATTGAGAGGGAATTGTTCCACGATATTTTAGCCGGAACCAATGCCAAAGCTGGGGTTGAAATATATGCTCCCCAATTTTTTGCTCGTCAACTTAGTTTTGGCCAAACTTGGCCTATTCCTCCTTGCTACTCCAAAAATTTGACAGATCGTTTTCACACTATTAATAAGGCAGAAGCACAAGCCGTAAATGCTCGTAACATTCTTTTGATGTGTAAATTTTCATTAGCCCCTTTCAATTCTAGCTGTGCCGTCCATCTTCTTTTTGAACAACTCTGGCCATCAGTAAAATGTAGATTGTTTGCAACTGATGTCAATCGTGCCTTCCATTTACTGGATCAGCCAAACACTTCCTCTACTTCTCCTATTTTGGTCACCCCTGTGTCCATTAGGAATCCTCCCTCCCCTGCTCGCGCTAAACGTCCTATTCGTCCATCTGCTTTTCCACCTGCCAAGGCTACTGCAGCTAAAGGTGCCTTAAGCCGCAAACAGCCAGTTTCGGCATCTCCCATTTTGCAAGATGATGATGATGATGATGATGATGACGCTCCTCTCATCCTTAGGAGAAAGGTAATTAGATTTGTTTATTCACAAACATACTTTTCTATGTACTAATGGTTTACCTGAATTTCTCAAAAAAGTTCAGCCTCTCTTTCGAAGGTTTTGGTTTTGGCAACTCCTGCTTCACCATCTTCTGCTAAAGCTGCTTCATCCAAATCAGCTGATAAAGGGACTATATGCTTAAAGAGAAACCCTTAGTCCCGGAATCTTCATCACAACCAGTAGAAGGGCCACCTTCTTCTCAGGGCGCCGACCCCCTAAATGTCGAACCAGAAGGTAATACATATTTTGATGTTTTCCCTTTGCGTGTGCTACTGATTTCTGATTCGTTGCTTCTTGAATTATGCAGAGGCTCCCACGGGCCTGCTCGTTGTGGCAGAGTCTTCTCGCCCCAGATAAGGAGAAGTCCCCACAGGTGGTAGAGCTAACTAGTGATATGCCTGAACTTCCCAAGATTGCTGATGAGGTAACCTTTTGCCTCACTTTCATTTTCGCTTCATTTATTGTAGTGAAAGCCCTCAACATTGGCATTTTTCTTTGCAGGGTGCTGATGACATTGTGCGTTCTATCCAAGACTTATTCACTTCCTGGGGACAAGTCAAGACGTCTCGCCCTACTTCAACCAGTCATCCTTCTGCTTCATCTTCTGCTTTTTCGGAGGAAAATATGAAGTTTCTCAAGCAGTCGGTACTTGAGTATGTGTCTTTTATGGATATGGATATCGGCCAGGCTAGTGCTACTAAACATAAGGAAAAGTTTGAGCTATTGAGTTCGAAATTGGCGCAAGCACTTACACTTCCGTCGCTCAATGTTTCTGCTGACTTTAAAGCGACATTGAAGGTTGTCCACTCTGACATCCTCTCCTTGCTAGCTAAGAATGTTGAACTGAAGGCCAGGAGTACTCAATATCTTCGTGCTGCATCTGAAAGAGAGTCTTTCCTTAGAGAGATTAACAAAGCCGAGGATGAATTGAAAGAAATCTCTTTCGACGTTATGATCGAAAACTCTTTGATGGTAAGCTTGGCTGCAGAGATGAAGGAGCTTCAAGCAAAGATGGACGACTGTGGGGCGAGAATGGCTACTAAAAAGCGTAATGCTTCCCAAGGAATTGAACTAACCAAGTCTTTGGTTGAGCAGTATAAAAAGCTGGAGGTTGATGACGATTTTGTAACTGAATTAAATGTCGATTCTTCTCAACAAAGCGAAGATTGGGGAAGACTTAGGGAAAGAATACGTTCGGCCTGGGGTGAATTGTAATTAAGACATCCAATGCCTTAACTTTCCTTTTGTAATTTCGCACTAATTGCCATTGTTAATTTTGAATATAACAGCAGCTATCGTCATTAATGAACGACTATTTTGTCTACTTGCATATTAATTGACGTTGTCCTCAATCGTCAACCCCCGAAGCATTTAATTACTTTATGCTAAGATTCATGTACATTCTTTCTTAGTATTCCCGTCTCTTTTCCCAAGACTTTGGGCCATTTGATTTCAGTTATTAGGCACGAATGTGGCCGTTCATATTCTGTCTTTTCATCTTCACGCCTCTATAAATGCGCGTGTATTTCGCACTTATCATTTTTATTTCCATTCTTTTCTTCAAAAACTAATTTGTTGCCATCGTTTGGCATCTCAACAATTGATCCAAAATTTTGGTCTTCCATAGAAATGGATCATTTGATCCGCCCATTTTGTTATTTGTCTTGATGTCGCCTTTGGTATAGGAGATATAGGAAATATTCTTTGGCCAGCAAAGGTCTTCCCATCGTCTCCATGTTCTTTATAAGGAGTTCAATGATGGAAGGCGATTTTTGAGGATGCCTTTCAAGCCACTTTGCTTGCTGAGAGTGCTTCTCAATCTCCTTGCTTGTTATTACAACAATGCGATTAGACAGGCGATTTGAGGGTGCTTTTCTTCCTTTTTGCTTGTTGAGAGTGCTTCTCGGCCTCTCTGCCTGCCCTTGCAGCAGTGCGATCAGGACGGCGATCAAGGTCGGTTCATCCTCTTACTTGGCGATCGACCGAGAAATTAGTTTGCTCTCAATTGTAGCTCATAGAGCATTTAGTATTTTGTATC